GCTCTTCGCGTCGGCCCCTAGCTGGCGAGGCGCTCTCTGCTTCTCCACTTCTTCCGACCGTCTCTTTTCTGCTTCGGCCGCAGCGCTGGCATTGCCCCGAAAAGAAAGGGCAAATCTCTGAGTGCTGGCACCCGCGCGACCATTGCAACGCGGCGCGCCGCGCAGGGCGCAATTTCCCCGCGCGGGCAGCGAACAGGAATTGCGCGTTCCCGATGGGCCGAGGGCGATCTAAACAATCCGAAACTATTCCACCACCAATGCCAACCGACTGAATCGGGGCAGGGGCGCGGTCACTCGGAAACGGAGACCGAACGCTCCCAGGACGAATCTGAAGACTTAAACTTAGCGCTTATGTCTGGCCAGCAGAGAGCCCAGGAATTCAGGGCGGCCAATGGATGCTATCCGACGATCCGACGCCGCAGGTTGACCCTGAGGCGCGGCCAGCCTCCGCTGCCATTCTTGTCGCTCCTGAGCGAGTTCAGATTTCAGAACTTCGAGATTGCGTTGTGCGCTTTCCTGTTTGATCATATATTGACTGGTTCGCATCGCCGCATCAATGACGGCTTGCCCCCTGAGAGAACGCCCGCTGAATCGCGGCATCCGCCCCCCCCCCTTGCCTGCTGCGCCACGCTAGCAGCCCGGGCCGCCCTTTCGCGAAGGACTGCCACCACTTTCGGCTCGGAAATACATGCGACCACTCGGGCCCGCCCCAATGTATGCTGCGTCTGACGTTCTTTCTCTTCCGTTTTCTCTGCTGGAACCGACCCTTGCCCCACGATTACCAATTTAGCTGCCTCCTCGGCTTTCCTATTATCATTTTCATATTCCTGCAGAGACAGTTGAACTGCCTCCGAGGTCGCTCTTTGATTCAGGTGAGCATTAAGAGCTATCAACATCCATCCTTCCGTTTCTTACTCGGACTATCATATTTGAATATTCGTCTGAGCGGCCATCCGCTCGCTGGGAAGCTTTCTCTCGCAGCGGCCGTTTCATGTTCCTTTTGTTACCATGCCAAAACCATTATGTGTTGGCAGTTTTGCTCTTGCAAATCGACGCAGTCTGTGCAGAGCCAACTGACATTGCAATGTGTGCACGTGACGGGGCATGCTCCACGCGCTGGCCCATAATACGGGCCGTTCTCTCTTCCCGCCTTTCCCGGGCACCGATTTTCCGCCGTCGTCGGGCAATGTGGCCTTCGGGCCCCGCAAAACACTACAACAGAAAGCCTGCTAGAAGAGGACTGCACGGAAGGGCTATTGGAACCACGACTGCTCCTCGATCTAGCGCGACCTATCATACGGGATCCAGGCTTGACATATTTTACGGGGATCTGGGATCTAGGAGGAGGAAGCACACGATCCCTGTCTATTCTCTCAATTTCCGCATCTTGAGCTTGACAAGTTAAACCGGCCAAATTAAGGATCTCCTCATCAGCCCCTTGTACCTCGCGAGTGATCGGACATCAGCCCCCTGTACCTCGCGAGTGATCGGATGGTGAGACACCGCAACACGCTCCCAGTTGAACCGGAAATCTGCCTTGGCGAATCATGTGCCTCCATACTACTATCGGATCGCCCCTGTGGCCTCATTGGGAACGGCGCCCCCTGTGGGTTCCCTCAGGTGATCTACCATATCTGGCTGCCGATGACTGAACGCGGCAACTGGTGACTGAACTATTCCCACAAGCTCTGCTCTGCCAGATAAATGTGGACGGAGTGCCTGAAGGATGGTTGAACCACCCCCGGGTTTACCAGCACGTTCTTCGGACATCATGCCACGATATTCAGCTAAACCACCGGTTCAGCAGGCAGCCTCGCTTGCAACATGGCGCGGCTCTGCTTTCAACGATGAACTCAGCGAGCTAATCTCTGAATCGATGAGTGCGGATGGTTTTCGATCAACATCCATTTTCTCACATTGGCGTCCCCCTGGAACTATGAAGATCTTGATTCGGCATGGGAATAACAACCACTTCGATCGGCACTATGGGTTGTATATCGCGGCGAGGCTGACTTGAAAAGTCCCTAACATGAACAGGTCCATAGCTTTCGGCGAATAACCAACTATTTGCCAGAGGATCGAAAGATTCTGACAGAACGATTGGTATATGGTCTTGTTATACTATCGTCCCTTGATCTGCAATGTGGGTGGCTGGACTGGTCATGGACATGGCAATTGATGGAAGGAAGTCTGCAAAGCAGAAGCTACGATAGGTGTGTGTGTGTGTGTGTATGTGTAAGTGTGCGCCCGACCTGGGAGACGGGGAGGGCGCGTGGTTTTTGTTAACCACCTCGCAAGTCAAACAAATGTGGCCAACACAGCGATGACCAGCAGCAGTGTACGGCAAGAGCGGCGGCGGCGGCCGGCGGACGACGGCAGGGACGGAGCCATATTAATTCCATCGCCATCACCCTCACCATCACCAGCCTGGCAATCAACTTGCTCAGACCCTTCCTCCTCCCACCTCCCACCCACCCCCACCCCCCAGACCCACCCACCCACCCACCCCCACTCTCCCGCCCTCATCCTCTTACTTCCCCTCTTTCCGCACACCCCCCATGGGCAGGTATAGCTGCGCGTCGCGCTCCGAGACATTCGCAGCACTGTTGTCTTCGCACCCACCAAGCTTCAGGAAAACGGTGGGGGGGAGGAGGAAGAAGGGGAGGGAAGAAGGGAGATATTTGTACATCACCATCGGAAGGGGCTATAACAAAAGCCTTGCGGCAACGACCACGGGCCACGACCCACCGTGACCTCGGGTCTCTTCGAGTGTCGGCCCCTGCACATCGGTCCCAAATGTTCATGTCTGGTGGGCTCCGTAGGGCTTGTCCACTTCACGCCCAAACAAAGCACTCGCCCGTGATACGAGCAAAAGCAACATCTCAGACAGGCGACTGAACGAGCATTGCCTGAGCAGGCAGTTGTGACACACATGTGACCCCTGCTCCCAAACAAACTCGCAGACAACCCATCGTCTGGCTTACACAGAACGACAACAGGTGGAGAAGGATAAGAAGGACCGTGGGTGGAGGCGCGATTGACTGCGCCACAAATCGAGCACGTTCAACGTCCAGGGCCCGTTGCAACACGGGTGCTGTTCGATCGGCGACCACACATAGTGCTGGCTTTGGAACGATCTGGGCGAGCTCTCGAGACGGTTTGACCCAAGACATGACCTTCGAGGTCCAAGCGGGGACAGGAGGGGCATCACCTTAGCAGCCAGTGCGGCAACCGCCAAAGACATGTTGACAACATCGCCGAGCCTGGCATACAGCAGCGGCCCGACCACAAGAAACCCTCCACAAGAAGTCCAACCCTGAGACCGCAGGACGTCCATCGATTTTTGGTGCGCGAACGTCACGCCTTCCACAGCAAAACCATCGAAACCCAAAGCGGGGTATTTCTTGGCATGGGTCTCCCCGTGTAAAAACATCAGGCTCAGTCCCCCCCTTTCGTCCGACCCCAAGGGGGGAAATGGCAAGGGGGCAAGGGCTGCCAGGCTCTCCCGCAGGACGACCACGAGCGACGACGAGAGCGGCCACGCCCACGCCGACGCCGACGCCGACGCCGATGCTGGCGCCGACGCCGACGCCGACGACAACGATGGAGACGACGACGACGCCGCCGACGACGACGACGCCGACGACGACGACGCAGACGACGACGACGCCGACGCCGACGACGACGACGCCGCCGACGACGACGCCGACGCCGACGACGACGACGCCGCCGACGACGACGCCGACGACGAGGCGGCGACCACGACGACGACGACGAGGCGGCGACCACGACTATAGGCCAGACGCGCACAGGGCCGGGCCGCCGACGTCCACGCAAGCCCACGAGGCGTCTGGTTGCCAGGCGCCTCAGGGTGGAGCGAGCGGTCCCCGAGCACGCACTGCAGGCGGCTGGCGGTGGCGGTAGTCACCTGGGGAGGGGCAGCGAGGGAGGGGAGGAGAAAAGGCGGGGAAGAGAAGAGAGGGAATGAGGGAGCGAGAGAGAAAGGGAGTGAGGAAGTGCGGGGGAGGAGGAGGAGGAGGAGGAGGAGGAGGAGGAGGAGGCCGAACGTCCCACAGGGAGGAGGAGGAGGAGGAGGAGGAGGAGGAGAAGAAGGAGGAGGAGGAGGAGGAGAACGAGGGTTAGAGCTAGAGGGAGGGGAGGGAGGAGGCGAAGGACGGGGGTGGAGGTAGAGGAGGAGGAGGAGGAGGAGGAGGAGGAGGAGGAGGAGGACCAGTGTAAACACAAGAGTCGGAGGAGGACCAGTGTAAACACAAGAGTCATCAACGATGTTGGAATAAACCATCTCTCCAAGCTCCCTCTTCATAGGCCCCGACAAGGGTTCATTTCCACTGAGAGAACTACCTCGTCGGAAGACAACAGTTTGAAGACTGTGGAGCATGCCAAAACAATATTCTCGGGGCTTCAACGCCACGCAACAACCTGACTGCTGCGTCTTGACGATGCTGAATCGTGCCAGAAAGCTTTTTTCTGACTTCAACACCGCGAACCAAAGTGACTCTTGAAGTCATAATCCCGAATTCTTGCGAAACTCCATTCCTGGTACGTTGATCCTGGGAACCCGTAGAACTCTTGCAGTTAGCATATATGCACACATATATATATATATATATACGGCACTGAAGCGAGAGCCGCATGTTGAAAAGAAACCGCCCTCAATCCGTAAAACTCTTGAAAACTGTTCAAATGAATGCGCGCGCCGCTTCGGCGAAAACCACATTCTGAAAACCATCCTCCATCAATCCGTGAAACTATTGCAAACTGTTCAAACGAACGCGCACGCCGCTAGGCGAGAGCCACATTCTGAAGACCATCCGCCCTCAATCCGTGAACTCTTGCAAATGTTTAAAATAAATGAACGCAACGCTAAAGCAAAATCCACATTTTGAAAACCATCTGCCCTCAATCCGTGAAACTCTTGCCAATGTTAAAAAAACGAATGCGCGCGGCGCTAAGGCCAGAGCCACATTTTGAAAACCATCCGCCTTCCATATGTGAAAATGTGTTTCAATGTTTGAGCTTCAGGGTCATACGTGGTGAAGAAGTCTCAGGCAAAACGCCCCGCCCGCCCTAAAAACTGGCCTCGGGGTGCGACAGGGAGAAGTTCTGTATAAGGAACAGGAATGGAGGAGGCGCAGGAAGGCGAAACAGGAGTGAGAGAAGGAGGAGGAGTCAAGCTAGCCAGCTCGAACGAGCCAGAGGGACACGCCTAATCCCACCCTCCCGCAGCACAAGCGTCAGTGCCGCCAAAACTGGACATTGAGCTTCACGCGCGCTCCAGCTCTGCGAACGGAGGGCGCTCGTGCGCGCGCGGCGCCGCTTCCGACGCCTTGATGAAGGGACACATGGGCCGCGCACAAGCAGGAGCTGAGCTCTAGGGGAAAAAAGGGAGCGCCTCGGCGAGAGCACCATTCAGCCCACTGGCGCATGGCCAACTTTCCGATAAGACTGGCCAAATCGAAACGCGCGCCGCGCCAAGGCGAGCGGCGATGTCAGGCGAGCTCTGCGCGGCGCGAAGACGAGTGCGAAAGTTCGCCCACTCGCGAGCGGTCCCGCGTCCGCGTGAGACGACTGGGTGAATGAGCAATCTAAGGCGCGCCAAAGCGCAAGAACCACCCACGTTCGCGCGAAATCTGCGCAGCTTTCTGGCGAGAGGGACATTTCGTCCGCTCGCGCGCGAGCCCACTGCCGACGAATTGGCAAGCGACAGATACAGGAGGCGCCCCAGCGTAAGCGCCAACGTCAAGCGAAATCTGCGGGCGAGAACGGCATGTCGCCCACTCGCGCGCAACCCCGCTACCAACGAGTTGGCGGGCGAAAGGGCGTGCGTGAGTGAGTGTGTCTGTGCGTGCCGTGCCCACGATTCCCAACGCTGCAGCCCGGGTTGCTCGACGCGCGAGCGGATCGCCTCTGCCGCGCCGCGACGGAAAAAGCGTGCCGTGCCAATGCGGGAGCACCCGCTGCAGGCGAAGTCTGCACGGCGTCTGGGCAGGAATGACACTTCACCCGCTCGCGCGCGGCCCCGCTGCCGCTTCCGACGACTCGGCGAGCGACAGATATAAGCAGCGCGCCCGACGGGGAACGCCACGTTCAGGCAAAATCGGCACGGCGGCTTGGTGAGAACGGCATTTCGACCGCTCGCGCGCGGCCCCGCATCCAACATTTCCGCGCACGACAACTCGGAGGGCGAACAACACGTGTCGCACCCAAGCCCTTCACGCCCATTCAAAGCAAAATCTACACGACGACTTGGCGAGGCTAGCCCAGCATTTTCCCCGTTCGCGCGCGGCCTCGCTTCCCCTTAGAAGTCTGGCAACTCGACGAGCGAAGCATAAACATACATATATACATGCATACATACATACATACGTACATACATACATGCATGCGTGCATGCATGCATGCATGCATGCCTGCATGCATGCATACATACATACATGCATACATACATACATACACACACATACATACATACATATATACATACATACATATGGGCAGCGTCTGTGTCTAAATATAGGTGCATGGCCATGATGGCAAATTCCCAACTCAGTGTGTGGTTGCAACTTGCGAGTGTATATACATACATACATACCTGCATATATACACATACATGCATGCACGCAGTCATGCATGCATGCATGCATGCATGCATGCATACATACATGCATGCATACACACATACATGCACACATACATGAACACATGCATACATATATACATACATACATACATACATACATACATACATACATACATACATACATGCATACATACATACATACATACATACATGCATGCATGCATACATGCATGCATGCATACATACATACGTACATTCATACATACATATACCTATGCATGCATACATACATATATAATAAATACATACATACATGCATAAATGCATACATATATACCTACATACATACATACAAACATACATACATACATACATACATGCATGCATACATACATACATACATGCATACATACGTGCATAAATGCATACATATATATACATGCATATATACATACATACATACATACATACATACATACATACATACATACATACATACATACATGCATGCATACATACATACATACATACATACATACATACATACAGTCATACATACATGGACTTCATATCCCTCTATATCCACGTGCAAGGTCTTAGTGGCAAGTTCCCAAAACAGCGACACTTCGGAGCTCTTTTTACGTCGGTTGCCATATGAATTATTCGGGCGTGGCGAGGCTGCGCCTGGTGGACGGCGGCCGTGGACACCTCGAGGGCGCCCCATGCGCTGGGCGAGTGTGGCACGGTTTCGCCTGGTGGACGGCCGTGGGCGCCTTATGGGCGCCATACAGTCCACATAGTTTGCACGACGTACGTAGGTTACGCCCAGAGGTCTCACCAGATAGACCACATCACATGTTTCACGTCGGCGGCTGGGCAGAGCACTTGCGCTGGCGGAGGGCTACCTAAACGGGGGTGCCGTTGCAGCGAATTGTGCCACCAAGCAGGCGGAAAGGACAAAGCAGAGGGGAACGGCCGAAAAAGGGGGCGGGAGGGGACCGAGGCCGCACAGGGGGGCGGGTCACGCCCCGAGCGTGTGGCGCGGCCGGCCCCGCGCCCCACCGGCGGGTCCACCACGGCTGCTGCACCAAGGGGGCCGGCGGCGGCGGTGCGCAGTGTGGGGGCAGGGGCCACCCCAGAGGGGCAAGGGTGCAAAAGGGTCAGTGTGGAGCAACGCCTGGCGTAATGTTGCTCCCATCGTACTTAAGGACCACATCCCAGAAATGATTTCGAGCACCCGGAAGAGTGTCGAATGAGTGTCGAATGGGTGTCGAAACAGTGTCGGACGGTGTCTTCCAGGGCCCGACACGCGGAAACCCTCGAGTTTCGGTACTTTTGGGGGGCTCGAAATTCTCCCTGGTGATCAAGGCTAAAGTAGGCTGGAACATCGTAAGCCTGGTGGCCGCACGTTCCCCAGGGCGCGAGCGGGCGAGGTTTCCCAGCAAAAAGCTGAAGCGCCGGCGGCGTGTGGCAAGACCAAGCCCAGGGTGCTGGCGCGGCGGCTGCGAGCAGCCCGTCAGCGCCATGGCGGCGCGTGGGAGGAGGGAGAGCAAGCGGGAGGGGCACAAGTGAGCAGGGAGGAAGACGCCCCGCCTGTGAGACCTCAGGCGGGGCGGCAAGCGGCAGCGGCGGCGACGCGCACCGCCCGGCGCAGGGGGCAGCGTGAGGGCAGGCACCCTGACGGCGCCGAGCGGGGGCAGCAGGCGGGCCCCCAGAGCCTGCGAAGCCCGCGGGCGAGGCGGCGGCGCCGGTCGGCAGCAGCGTCGGGGGCGCTGCCACACAGGGCGGGAGGATGCCAGGGCATAGCGCGGCCCCTAGAGGGCTCAAGCTGCCCAGGGGGGGGGCAGGAAGAGTCTGAAGCAAGGGCCCAGAAGGGACCGGAGGGATGGGGCGGCGGGAGAGAGGTAGCACCGAACAGGTGCAGGCCGGAAAAAAGGACAGGGCGCCCCTGCCGGGGTGGACAGGGTAGGCCCGCCAGGGGAAGAGGGGGGCAGCCGCCGCTGGAAAGGACGGCAGGGAGTCCCCCCGCTCGGACAGAACTGTGGTACGCACCGAGCTGGTACACGCCGGCAAGAGAAAGCAGGACAGGGAAAAACCGCCCCCCAGGCCTGGGTGGACTGGGCGGGCGCCTCGAGGGGGCCACGGGGCCCGCCGTCTGGGTGGGCAGCAAGTGGGCGCGTCCTGGAGCGAAGGCCTGGGGCTGGGTCCTGAGCGCACGGCCCGCCAGAGCGGCGGGCGTGGCCGAGGCCTGGGCAGAGCGGCGCGCCCCCGGGGGGGGGGGCGCGCGGCATCACATGGGTTGCGCCTCATCGCTGACAGCGCCTGGCTTACGCGACGGAGCTTACGTAAGATCGCCCGTGCAGCACAGCTTGCACCACATCGCTTGCACCGCCCTGCCGCAAGCACAGAGCTTACACAGCATGGCTCACACCAGAGGGACGACAACGCGTCCACGCCGAAAAGACAATCGTTGGCTGCGCACTGTGCTGTGCTGATGGGTGGCATGGAGCGTCCCGGATGTGACCCGCATAGGCCGGCTCGGTGGCGGAGCGGAGGCACACACAAACGAGAACTACGGGCAGGAGGTGGCGCCGCGCCGAGGGGCGCCGGTGCCAACGCCGTCGTCGTCCGTCGTCGCCCGTCGTCCGTCGACGCCCGTCGTCCGTCGGCGTCGCCCGTCGTGCGTCGTCGTCGTCGTCGCCGCCGCCGCCGCCGCCGTCGTCGTCGTTGTCGGCGTCGTCGTCGTCGGCGGCGGCGGCGTCGTCGTCGTCGGCGTCGCCGAGAGCGTGCCCGGTAAAAGCACGCTCGGCGCGTGGCCAGGCGGACGACACGCCTGCCATGGCACGACCACGGACGACAGCAAAGAAAAAGACAGCGGCCGACCGACCGAACGGCCGGCCGCCCAGCCCACCCAACGACGGACGACGACGACGACGAACGACAACTTCCATGTCGGAGGCTTGCGCGAGTCTGTCCAGGTTCTCGTCGCCACAGCTGGGCGCAGCTCGACCTGGATGGGCCGCGAGAGGGGTCCAGGCAGGGGCCTCCAGGAGATACCAACCGAGGTGGATGTTCCCGCCTCCGCCCACGTTGGAAACGAGGGGCGAAAGGCGAAAGGGAGAAGGCGCCAGCATCCCAGTGTCCACTTGCACGCGCGAGCTCTCATCGAAGGAGGTCGCACGGCCAGAAACAGGCGCTGAAGCCAAGAATAGTGCAAAGGATAATGCTCCTCCCATCGTATTCAAGAACCCAATCCCAAAAATAATTTCGAGCACCCAGAAAAAGTGTCGAAGTAGTGTCGAACGCGTGTCGCCTCCCGGGGCCAGACACGTGAAAATCACAAATGTCGGTACTTCCTTGGTGCTCGAAATGCTTTCTGGTGATCAAAGCTAAAGTAGGCTGGAGCAGCATGAGCAAAGGAGGGGTTATCGTCTGTGCGCGCACCGAGGGCGGTCTGCGCGGGCGCGCGCTGCGCTTCGCTGAGCAGGTCGTGCACATTGGAATGTTGTGTGTTGCGTCCCTCTGGCCCCCTGTACGCCCCTCGCCTGCCCCGCACGGTCAGGAGAGGGATGAGGAAGGAGCGAGCGCAAACGTAACTGTCCCTTTCCGTAGGTCGGGCATGTCCCCCTACAGGCGGATCTGGGACGAAAAACAAAGAATACAATCGATACATACATATATAATTATATATAGTCAAAAAATCGAAACATCGTACCCCGACTGTTCTTTTGCTTTTTACAAAAAAAACTATGTTTGAAAATTCCTCCTGTAGAGGGACAGGCCCGACTCAAACCTTTCCCTGCCCTGCTGGAGCGGCGCTCTCTTGAACGCCTGACACCGCAAATCCAATCCGACCAAACTTCGTCATCGCTCCCCACCTCAGGCGTTTTGAGCCGAAACGACTGGTCTGCATGGGCGCAGTCAGCAAGCAGCTGCGCACCTGACCAGGGTCAGTCACTCCAAACTCATGCCTGATCGGGTCCAATGATACTTGTCTTGGCACTGCGTCGTGGCCTGGTGATGCACTGCCTGGTCACAGGCTCTGTCACGCCCTGATGGGGAGCGAAGCTGCCGACTGTCATCATCGTGCGCTGCGGTGGCAGGCGCTTTGGCAAATCAGCAAAGTGGGGCTCATTCCCTCGAATGGCTGCGCCAATCCACTGTTCCGGGATACCTGGTCGACCTGCGTCTGACCTCATGCTGGGAAGAATGCGTTTCAGGAGCGTCGGCAATCATAGATTAGCTCTATGTCTGTCAGGACGTGCCGAGCCTTCTTCATTTGAACCGAACAAGATCGTGGCCCGTTTTGCAGCAGTGAGCCTCGGTCAGCTTTCCTCGTGGCGTTGCGTGCGCTCTACCTCTTGGACGGCCCTAGCCTTCACGAAAACTCAAGAAGCCCAGGACTGCATGCACCCTGGCGCCCCTCTCCCTCATCCTCCTCCTGCTCCCGCTCCCGCGCCGGCTCGCCTCGCAGGGAATGCCGCCGACGCTGACCTGCGGCAGCGGGGGGTCGGCCGCGAGGCATGCACATACAGGTGAAGAGAATGAGATGCAGCCGCGCCGTTTGCTCTGAACGCGCCCGAGTGGACGACGCCGGCACCACGGCAAACCCACGGCAAACCCTGCGTCCCGCGCCCTGAGTAGACAAAGCTGGCACCGCGGCAAACCAACAACATACCCTGCGTCCGAGGCGGAGTTTGCCCGGGTGGCCGTGGCGCCCTCCCCGAGGCGGAAGGCCGAGCGTTGAAACAAACGGCGCGGCGACAGATTAAGGAATAGACACTGATATGGAGATATCAATAGTGCGGGAGATGGAGGCACAGGCAACGACCGAGACAGAGTAGATGCGTCACCCTGGCCCGTCGTCTGCTGGGATGTGTTATGATTAGATGCCTTTGTATTTGGGGGCTAGGCTTGCGTAGTTACCCAGGAGTAAAATCCTCCCCGTGCTGCGCCACACCTCGCAAAGTCGCCCCATGCCTTCTGATCCCCAGCCCTCGCTTCGGCCTCAAGACGTGTCGAGGAGGTTCCCCAAACGGACCAACGAGGCCCCAAGAGGGCACCAAGACCCTCCCAGACGGCCCCAGCACCCCGGACGCATCCAGAGAGCCCCCACAGCCTCCGGGAAGGAAAACCTGAGGAGGGCCTCAGATGCCCCCCAGCACGCCACGGAGAGGCCCAAAGGGGCAACCAGGTGCTCTGGACGAGACCGTGCCGTATGCTGAAGTGTGCTCTGCCTGACACCCCTCTCTCTCAGCACGAGGAAACACCGAGCCCACAATAGAGGAATCCCACACGGGGTCCGAGTCGATGGGGTCAGAGGACCGCGCCGCACCGCCGATGCATCGGCGACGTCGGTGATGCATCGGCGACGTCGGCGTGGAGAAGATCGGGGTCCGCATCGATCCGCATCGCCGATGCATCGGCGATGCGGCGTGGTCCTCCGACCCCATCTACTTGGACCCATTTGGGGGGGGCGTGGGCACAGAAGCCTACAGGGCGGCCCCCGAGAAACCACGAGCGAGCGAAACCCGAGGCGGTCACAAGGACGGCCCAGGCGACAGCCGCGGGACACGCCAGGACACCCGCGAGGGCCCCAAAGCGGCCAGGAGAGGCCTCGCCTGGACAGCCCTAGCGTACAGTCAACCCGTATAATAAGGATGCTCCTCCTCCTCCTCCTCCTCCTCCGCCTCCTCCTCCTCCTCCTCCTCGCCACGTCGACGCTCTGCAAGCGGGGCGCGGCCAGCGAAAGCGGCCAAGGATGGGCCGAAGGGGAAGGATGCAAGGGGTGACCTTAGGAGGTTGCTTCTCCTTACTCTGCAGGTCGACTGTCCCAAGAGCGTCCCGGGGGCCTGCTGGGAAGGGGGAGGGGCCCACTGGGAAGGGGGGGGGGGGCGAAGAACAGCACTCGAGAACAAGAGACCCTCCGCCGGCCGAAAAGCATAGAACATCCGAGGGTACGCTCCCAAGGATGCACAAAAACATCCAACAAGCTCGAAGAACACTAGGGTACCCTCCCTGAACCGACCTGGGTCTTGTGCCTCGGTCCGACTGTATCTCCTATCTTCAAGATGAAAGGAGCCCAGGGGCACACAAACAAATACACACAAACCCAGGATTCCCCATATGTGTCCGTCTTTTCTGGGTTTTGGTCTTCCCCCCCCCACTTCCCCTATTTTCCCATACTTTCCGGGGGATCGACGATGGATTGTGTCTGTGTGTTTTTCCCCTCCTGACAAGAGGGCGTCGCCCCAAGAGCGTCTCGCGCACCCGTCTGGAGGGGGGGGAGGGGCGCAGCACCGTGTTGGCAACATGGCCGAACTACGCAGAGCCCACGTCAGAATCATCGGGGAGCCGCCTCGATGCCGGGCTGGCACAGGGGGCCCCGCAAGCAGTTCGGAGGCGCTGCGCTGGGACTAATCCTGCTGCTCTTCTTCCGCCTCCTCCGTTCGCCCCCGACGTGACGCGTGCTGAGCGTGTGGTGCCGCTGTCCTTGCCAGGAGACTGACAGCGGCGCCGCCGCTGCCCTCTGTACACCACGAGCGCCTGCGCCGACCGGAGTGCGCCATGTCTGTCTGGCTTCGGACATGCCGAGCAGCACCGACGTCCAGCTCTCCCACCGCCTGCTTCCGCATGCTTCGCACTACATGCATCCAGCGGCGCCGATGGTCCACGCATTCGGCGAGTCTCCCGGACGAATACGCGTGACGTCCGCCCCTGGGCTATTCGCTCCTATCGTCGCCTCCGAAGGGAAAGCCGATCCCGCCACTCGCTCCGACACCCGGTGAGGAATCCTGCTAGTGAGGCCAGGAGGGGCAGGGCACAGGATAGAGCCACCCCCAGCCACGTGCCCTGGATTGGCTCATATGCTGGGTTCGGGTGCGTCTTTGCCCCCAAGCAAGACACAGTCGTGCGCCCTGCGGGACGCCGACGCCGACGACCCACTCTCAGAGCCTCCCAGCACGGGACGTGGGCTCAGGGAGGCACACGGTGTCCTCGCGTCCGTCCTGACAGGCACGCTGAGGCACGCCCCCCTTCCCCGACGGCCAGCTCTGGTCATGGGGGGGGGGCCCACATGGGGGGTGAAGAAAAGGGCCCGAAAGGGGCACGTTAGGGCATGTTTGTTGGAGCCAGCAGGGGCCCCAAAGGGGCCCCAAAGGGGCCCCAAAGTGCCCCTTCGGGGCCCTTGTCCTTCTCCCCCCTCAATCAGGTCACCCCCCATTACCACCCGCCCGAGCTTACCACGGCGAAGCACTGGATAGTTTCCATACGGGGCCGCCGGAAGGCCCGACCCGTTCCCCAGGGCCAGCTTTTCCGCCCGAGTCTGTTTCTTGACAGTCCCAGGGCCCCCGAGGGCCGAACCTCGAGGAGAAAGCACCAGAACGAAACATTAACTCGTTGGAGATCTGGGTCCCCCTCCCTCCCCCTCTCCGATCCTCCTCCCTCCCTCCTCCTCCCCCCTCCCTCCTCCCCCTCCCTCCTCCTCCCCCGTTTCCTCCTCCATCCTCCTCCCCTCCTCCCCCTGCCTCCCGCCTCCCCCCTTCCTCCTCCTCCCTCCCTCCCCCTCCTCCCTCCTCCCCCCTCCTCCACCCTCCTCCCTCCTCCCCCCTCCTCCCTCCCCCTCCCCCCTCCTCCCCGCGGGCTCACCGGAAGGCCCGACCCGTTCCGCGGGGCCCGCTCTCCCTCCCGAGCCCGATCCTTGACGGTCCCGGGGGCCAGGCGAGGGCGCCCCGGGGCCGACCTCGGCCAAGAGCCTTCCGTCGCGGAGGCGCGCGGGTTCAGCGGGGGGGGGGGGTCCCAGGCGGATTGAGACCACGGTACACTCAGACGACGACGACGACGACGACGACGACGACGACGACGACGACGACGACGACGACGACGACGACGACGGAGTGGGCTCTCTCTCTCTCTCTCTCTATTCCTCCCTCGTCCTCCGATGCAGGGCCCGACGAGGCCGACCTCCTCCTCCTCCTCCTCCTCCGCCTCCTCCCCTCCTCCTCCTCCTCCTCCTCCTCCCCTCCTCCTCACCTCCTCCTCCTCCTCCTCCTCTCCTCCTCCCCTCCTCCTCCTCCTCCTCCTCCTCCTCCTCCCCTCCTCCCTCCTCCTCCTCCTCCTCCTCCCTCCTCCCTCTCCTCCTCCTCCTCCTCCTCCTCCTCCTCCTCCCTCCTCCTCCTTCCTCCTCCTCCTCCTCCTCCTCCTCCTCCTCCTCTCCTCCTCCTCCTCCTCCTCCTTCCTCCTCCTCCTCCTCCTCCTCCTCCTCCTCCTCCTCCTCCTCCTCCTCCTCCCTCCTCCTCCTCCTCTCCTCCTCCTCCTCCTCCTCCTCCTCCTCCTCCTCCTCCTCCTCCTCCTCCGCCTCCTCCTCCCTCCTCCTCCTCCTCCTCCCTCTCCTCCTCCTCCTCCTCCTCCTCGCTCCTCCTCCTCCCCTCCTCCTCCTCCTCCTCCTCCTCCTCCTCCTCCTCCTCCTCCTATGGGGGTCGCGCTGTCACGTATGCAATGTCATTCTTCGATTCGCTGCATGAAACTCATCGCTGCCAATTAGGCGCCAACCTGGCGGGTCCCATGATCTGGGTGTAGATAGCAGGAGGACTGCAACAAGTCTCCCGTTGGGCGCCTGGTTGTCCGCCGGAATCTCAGAGAAGGAGGAGCCGAAGATCGTGAGCATGTTGCCGCCGTGAATGCCGCTGACATGCCGCTGGTTTTACATTTGGGCGATGGGTGTTCCGCGGCTGGACACGCGTGCCTTGAGAAACAGACATTAGGGTGGCGCGAAAAGCTCCAGTGGCCGGCCCCGACGAGATAGCCTCGACGCGGGGCCTGCTCGAGCCCACCCGTTCCGCCCCGCGGCTGGCAGGGGGCATCGGCCCGCCCGCCCAGACGCCCACGCGCCCCTCTCTCGCTCCGCCCCTCTTCCGTGCCGACCGGGTGCACACGCGCACGGGCTCCTGCACGAGAGGGCAGAGCGAGGGAAGAGGGAGGGGAAGAGGGAGGAGAGGAGAATGGGAAGAGCAGAGGGGATGCGTGAAGAGGGCGGGCGGGAGGGAGAAGAAGGGGAGGGGAAGGGAGGGACAGGGGGAATGGCGAGGGACATGGAGGGGAGGGGGAAGGGCGTGGGAGGACGGGGGAGCGGAGCTGGGCGCATATCGTCACCTCCGCCAGAAACGGGCTGCAATGAACTCCGCGCCCGCACTTTCCTCAAATTCCGCCGTGCCGTCCAGAACTGCTGCGCATGAGCCGGGGCAAGCCAAGGCGGGGCCGTGATCCTTGACGTAGGCTCGATGCTGTTCACCTTGGCGGCGGCATCCGAAGTGACTACATCATCCTCTGCTTAACCTCCTCTTTCTCCTCCTCCTCCTCCTCCTCCTCCTCCTCCTCCTCCTCCTGCTCCTCCTCCTCCTCCGCCTCATCCTCCTCCTCCTCATGCTCGTCCTCCTCCTCCTCCTCCTCCTCCTCATCCTCCTCCTCCTCCTCATCCTCCTCCTCCTCCTCCAAGCCTCGGCACAAGATCGCTCAGCGCGAGGCTTTCCCAGAGAGCGCCCCGAAGCGGCTTCGGGAGGGCGCTACCCGCGGCGGGGTGTATTCTGCTGTCTGGCAGGCGGGGTGAAGAACTCTTGCGAGTCTTGAGATTGCGGGTCTTGGGAGTCTTGGGAGTCCTGAGATCTAACCCTCTGAATACGTTAGGCGACCGCATCCAGGAACTCCTCGGAGAAATCCCACCAGCCCTTTAGGGCGTCGGTGGTTTAACGAGTTTCCTCTTCCACCCCTCCTTCTTCCCCTTCGGGGGGGGGTTTACCCCTCCCCCTACCCCCCCCCCCCCACTGACCTGGACAGGAGGGGCGGGGAGCGGTCAGAGCGTCCAATACGGCCTCGGCGCGGAAGCCAAAAACATTGATTTTACTATGGTTTTGGCCCCATGTTGGCCTTCTCAGGGGGCAACGCTAATTAAGGCTCCCCTCTTCTTTGATCGATTTCCTCCACGATGGCCGCAAGAGGCCCCCAGGATGCCCCAAGAGGCCGCAGGATGGCCCCAAGATGGCCCCAAGAGGCCCCCGAAGAGGCCCCCAGGAGGCCCCCAAGAGACCCCCAAGAGGCCCCAAGATGGCCCCAAGAGGCCCCAAGAGGCCCCCAGGAGGCCCCAAAGAGGATCCCGAACGGCCCACAGAGGCCCCCCCGAGGCACCCAAGACACCGAAAAGCCCCTCAGGACGACCCTCTACTCGCCTGGGCGTCGTTTCTGGACGGGCTGGTGGGGATACGCGAAGCGTCTAGAATTGGCTTCACATCAGCGGGAGAGGCAGCACAGATCGAATCTAGCAGTCAGGCCCCGTCGGTGGTCAGCACTCGCTGCAGGTCGACAGGTTCACTCGGGACCGTTCATACTGTCGCCGTTCAGCAACCATAGCTGTGAATGCTCCATGGCTTTCGGCCTACAGCTGCTACCCCGCCATCTACTTCGAACGTGGGGACCTCCACCAGAAGATCGGGGAAGGGCGGTTGCAGCAAGAGTGAAGTACGGACTGGCCAATTCCGAGACGCTGCATGTGCGTCCAGCGAATACCGAAAGCAACGAGAGAGAGCTGAGGAGAGGACAAGGATGAGAAGAGGATGGGGAGGAGGAGGAGGAGGAGGAGGAGGAGGAGGAGGAGGAGGAGGAGGAGGGGGAGGAGGAGGAGGAGGAGGAGGAGGAGGAGGAGGAGACGACGACGACGACGACGAGCGGGACGGGACGGGGAACGAGGGAGTAGAAGGAAGAGGAGTATCGGATAGCAAACGAGCACACCCACCCTCCACCTGCCCACCCACCACCAGAGGGGGGACTGGGGGAGGGTGGTATACTTTGCGTCTCCTTGTTGCGCGACATCCTCGCAATCGGGAGCCTGAGCTCGGACCACCCCCTGAGGGGTAGGGGGGGGGCAGGTGGGGGTGGAGGCGTGCCTTCTCCCCCCAGAGGAGGAGGAGGAGGAGGAGGAGGAGGAGGAGGAGGGGGAGGAGGAGAAGGAGGAGGAGGATGAGGAGGACGAGGAGGAGGAGGAGGAGGAGGAGGACGAGGAGGAGGAGGAGGAGGAGGGGAGGAGAGGAGACTCCCCCAAGAGGAGGAGGAGCAGGAGCAGGAGGAGGAGGAGGAGGAGGAGGAGGAGGAGGAGTTTCCCTCGAGGGCCCCAGGGCCGAACGTAAAACATGCGGCCGTACTACGCCGAGCCAGCCGCTCGGGCAGCCGCCTCGCGTTGGCGGATCCTCTCGGCAAGGGCCACCATTCCGGGTGCCGACGCGAGGCCCGCACGAGATCAGAGCCCCGAATCAGCAGGGGCAGCTCGGGTCATGGGGCTAACTCGGCTTCGTTTTTTTGCGGGATTCCGAACCCGAGTTATCCCCGACCAGAGTCACCCAGGATTATTCGGGCGTCCAGAGCCCCGAATCATCAGGGGTAACTCGGGTCAAGGCTAACTCGGGTTTGTTTCGGGAAGCCAAACCCGAGTTACCCCGGACCCGAGTGACCCCAGATAACTCGGGCGCTCAACCAGAGGACTGCGAGGAGGCGGAGGCTGGGCCATCTTGCACTGCCTCGAGCAGCACGTGCTTTGGCCGAGGCACGACGAGCTGTACCAGAGCCGGAGGAGGAGGAGGAGGAGGAGGAGGAGGAGGCGGAGGCGGAGGAAGAGGAAAGGGAGGCTGGGAAGGCTGCACCCAGCGAACGCAAGTGGGATCTCCAGAGGGCCGAGCTCGGGAGCCCCCCCGCGGGCCGCCTGCGGGTACACCGTGAAGTGGTACGACCTGGGCGCGCGCGCGCACCCCCCCCGCGTCGCGAGCAGGAGCGGCCGACAAGCGTGCTGCTCTCGCACGCCTCCCCTCACGCCGCACGAACACTCGGTGGCAACCCACGGGAGCCTCCCATGCCATCTCGTCGGCTCCTGCGAATCGACGCTACATCGACGCTGCATCGACGCGAAAGGGCGCGGATCGACGCGAATCGACGCTACATCGGCACTATCTAATCGACGCCAGCAGCTCATCGACGCTAATCGACGCTGAAGACGAGATTAACAGGGCACACCAGGCTCGCCACATGGCTTGCTGCCCAACGAATCTGTTCGTGCCCCCTCTGCCGCGGAGCAGGCGGCCCCGCGGAATCGGGGGGCGCATCTGCCCGCCAAGCGTGGACGGGCGGATCTCCAGAGCCACCACTCCTCGAGATGTGGATACAGCGGGGGCCCGACGACGAGAAACCCTCCACAAGAAGCCCAGCCTGGAACCCCCCAGGACGTCCATCGATGCTTGGTGTGGGAGCGTCACGCTTTCCATGGCAGGGCCGTCGAAGCCCGAGAAACCCAGGGCACCCTGGAGGCAAGCAGGGTGTCTCTTGGCATGGGCCTCCACTGCATGGGCATGCAGGAGGAGGCACACACGAGAAGAAGTCGTCCTGCAGGAACTATTGGAGCACGTTCCTCGTCGATCGGAGGGCCCCAAGGCGTCCCAGAGGTCCTGTGGGTCCCTGGGGCCACCGGGCGCGAAGAACTTCACGAAAAGGGCACCTGCTGGCAGGCCGAGGCTTTCTCCGATGCGCCTACTGTGCAGTCAACCCGCGTGGTAAGCATGGACAACTTTCCCAAGGGAACCCCTTGAGTCCTTGCCCCCTCGGTCCATCCTTCGCCACGTTCGTTGGCCGCGTCCCGCTCGAAGAGCTTCGAAATGGGCGTTCGACGCCCTTGCATCCTTATCGCGCATCCTTATGACACGGGCCGACTGCATTCTGGTGGTGGAGGCCGGTGCTTCCGCTCGACCCACGCTGCAGCCCCAGCCAGGCCAAGGTTCACGCCATGAAGGATTTCTGCTCGCGGACGGCCGACTGCAGCCAAAGGGGCGGCTTCGGTCGGTCATGTCCTCCTGCAGACGGGTTTTGGAGGAGCAATTAAACATAGTCAAACAGATTCAAAAATTGTCAACAATTGTCGAAACAGCGTCCCCAGACTGACTATTTTCGAATATTCTCTTGTAGAGGGACACGCCCGACTTAGAAGTACAGTCGTCGTGTTGCCACAAGAAGCGCGCGAGTAAGGAAGGAAGGGCATTCCCTGGCCACGGCTAGCCTCGGCCACGAGTGCAGCCGGCCCGTACCACGAGGATGCGCGATGAGGATGCTACGGCCTTGGACGCCCAGTGCGAAGCTTTTCCAGCGGGGCGCGGCCAACGAAAGGGGCCGAGGCTGGACCGAGGAGGCGAGGACGCAAGGGGGCGCCCTTGGGAAAGTTGCCCATCCCTGCCGTGCGGGCTGACCGTATACGGACCGAAGGGGGCCTCCCTGGCCACGGTCAGCCCCGGCGAAGAGGGCCCCCACGACGCAGGCACCTGGAGCACGGCCCCCCAAAGACGAGGGCCCCCTTCCCGAGCCCGAAGCGGTCCCTCTCTCCGCGCCTCGACTGCTCAGTTGCTGGCGGCCGCCTCGCTCCTCCGCCCTCCTCCCTCCACCACCCTCCTCCGCCACCCTCCTCCCTCCGCCTCGCACCTCCGCGCGGAGGAGGACGAGAAGGACGAGGAGGAGGAGGAGGAGGAGAAGAAGGAGGAGGAGGAGGACGAGAAGGAGGAGGAGGGAGAGGATGAGGAGGAAGAGGAGGAGGAGGAGGGGGAGCAAGAGGAGGAGGAGGAGGAGGAGGAGGAGGAGGAGGAGGAGGAGGAGGAGAAGGAGGATGATGATGATGAGGAGGAGGAGGAGGAGGAGGAGGGGGAGGAGGCTCCCTCCACTACCCTCCTCTGCATCGCTCAACTGCTGCCGGCCGCCGCAGAGAGGCCACAGCAGGATCGCGCCATCGTGCAGCCCCGTTCCTCGACGGGCGCCTCCAGCCGCCTCCTCCACCTCCTCCTCCTCCTCCTCCTCCTTCTCCCTCCTCTCCTCTCCTCCCTCCTCCTCCTTCCTCCTCCTCCTCCTCTCCTCCTCCTCCTCCTCCTCCTCCTCCTCCTCCTCCTCCTCCTCCTCCTCCTCCTCCTGCTCCTCCTCCTCCGTCTCCCCCTCCTCCCCCTCCGCCTCCTCCTCCGCCTCCTCCTCCTCTTCCTCCTCCTCCCCCACCATCATGCAACGGCAGGACCGAGCCGCTGGGCCCCTAGGAGGAGCAGCCGGGAGGGGACGGCGAGCAGACGAGAAGCCAGCCACACAGTCACGCGGTCGTCGAGTCGACGGGCTCGTCATGGCCAGCGCTGAGTGCTGAGCCCCTGGGCACCAAGCGATGATGATGCTGCATGCGTGCCTTGCTCATTCGGGGGGCCGGCCGCGCAGCCAAAGACACCAGCCCATCTCACCGATCGGCCTCGCCCTCACCTGCATCCTCATCCTCACACCAACCCTATAATTACCAATATTCGCTGTCTCTGGGTTTCGCGCGGTCGCGGCTGCGCGGCGGCGGTCGGGTCGGGTCGGCCTTCCTGTCGAGAGATCCACGGTACCGTAGAACTGGAAGCCCCACGAGGCGATGCTCGTGCTCGCCTGGGCCCCAGTCGTCGTCTTCATCGCCGCCGCCGTCATCGTCGTCGTCGTCGCTGTCGTCGTCGACGTCTACAACGTTGTCAGCATCAGCATCATCATCAGCATCGTCGTCATCGGCATCGTTACCACTATCATTGTCAGCATCACCGTCTCAACACCACAACTTTCAACAACATCAGCAGCAGCATCATCATCACCATCCCAACAACAACAATCATGTTAACAGTGCTCGCTATTATCTGCTCGCGTGCTATTCAACACGTATATCCAAACCTTGGATACCCGCCATCATCATCGTCGTCGATCCTACCCCTTAGGGGTAATGTTCCTGAACTGGCCACGTGCATTTGGCGCAGCCCCTAAAACAGGGGAAGACAGGACGAATGGAAGAAAGGGACAAGGGGGAGGGAGAAGCATGGAGCACGAGAGAGAATAGCAGGAGGAGGGCTAGGAGCAGAAACAGCGTGGTAGAACCAGACGGGCTCGGGCGGGTAAACCCTGATGGGCGTGTCGGGAAGGCGGGCCCATGCGGCCAGGTCGAGCAGGCGGGTTGCTGAAGCGCGCGTCCTGCATGAATCGCCAGGAAGTCTCGAGCGATAGCGCGATTCCCAAGTAAATCGTCAGGAAATCCAAAGCGAGCGCGTGATTCTCCCCAGTGTCGAGAACGCGACGTCTGAAGAAATTGCGAGAGAGTCCCGCGCGAGAGCACGATTCTTGCACAAAGTGCAAGGGGGGTCCTGCGCAAGAGCTCGAGTTGGGAAGAAGTTGAGAAAGTATCAGGCGGGAGCCGCTGTCGTTGTTGTTGTAGTTCCGGGGCCAACAACCCAACATGAGGCGCAAGGCGTTCCCTTGTCAAAAACAAAGTGAGAGCCCCAGGAGGAGCACTTTAATTGAAAATTCAAAAATGGGTACCGCAGGGAGGGATCAACAATGAGCGACCTCTACAAAGCAAGAGTTCAACAACAACAACAACAACAACAACAACAACAACAACAACAACAACAGCAACAACAACAACAGCAGCAGCAACAACAACAACAACAGCAACGAAAACAATCATAACAGCAACAATAAGAAGAAGAACAACAACAACAACGACAACGACAACAACAACAACAACGACAACAACAACATCAGCAACAACACCTGCAACGACAACAGCACAACTGTTCATGTTAATGGTAATTGAACTGATAATAACAACAACAACAACAACAACAACAACAACAACAACAACAACAACAACAACAACACCAACAACAACAACAACAATTACTAGCACGTGGGGACACACCGTTCTCACCAGTGCCAGGGTTTTCATAGGAGGCGGGCAATACCCCCACTTTGTGGGGGGGCCGGTTCAAGCTCTACCAAATTTCCAAACGACTCTTCGCCACCACCCACACCCAGCTTCCCGCCCTATGACGTTCGGACACTTCACTTCGTGGCATGCGGACGACCGTGGCTACTATTCAGGGCCCCGCGGCCGACGACGACGGCGTGCGCGCGCGAAGAAAAAACGAATGTGTCCCGCATGGTATTATTTGACAGGGATGATGGCCCTGGCAGGTGCGCAACCGTTGTTGCAGAAGTTCGAAAAAGTTGCTCGCAAAAGCCCGTTTGACAGAAATGTTTAAAAAGTGTTGGGTTTCCTACGAATCCGCAAGAGCGCGCGGGATGAAATTTTGACATTTTTTGTTTGAAAAACCATTGGTTTTTTGATGTTTTTATGTTAAAATCGCTACGAAAACTAAGGTTTTGGAAGGATTTCGTCTTGCGCGCGCGAATGTCCACTTTACCTTATTTTTTGCAAGGGATTCTTGAAGTTTGGTTATGTTAGAACAAGAAATGTCCACTTTAGCTTATTTTTTGCAAGGGAAAACCGATCGTAACAACACAACCGGATCCGGACCAACCCGTTTTGCCTGAGACTTCCTCACGAAAATGATGAAAATGAGGCTGCGGCCTAGGCGCGGCGGGGGGGTCGCGCACCAGGGGCCCCAACAATAATTATTCTTTAGAAATAATAATGTTCAAAAGCAACAACAACAACAACCACAGCGACGATCATAACCACAACGACAATAACAGCGAAAGAAGTAACAGCAACAACAACAACAACAGCATCGACAACAACAGCACCACCAACAACAACAATAATAATGTCATGACTGTTCGCTCTTATCTGCTCGAGTGTCATTCAACGTGGATTTCCCTATCCCTCGATACCCGCCCTCTTCGTCTTCGACCGTAGCCCTCTTGGGAAATATATTTCTCTTCCCTGCAGGCCGGGCCCCGGCAAGCGGCGGGGCGGCCGCTGACCGTCAGCTTGGCCAGCGGCAGCGCTGATCGGCGGCAATCCGTCCCCAAGAGGGGAGGGACGGACAGTGGACCGACAACGACGACGACGACGATGACCAGCGAAAGCGAAAGCGAGAGCGAGAGCGAGAGCGACAGCGGGGCCACGAAGGGCGGGAAGGGGGCCATGAAGAGCGACAGCGGGGCCACGAAGGGCATGCGTATGGGGCCACGAAGGGCGCGAACGAGCGGGGGCCACGATGGGCAGATAATGCGGGGCCGCAGAGGGCAACGACGGGGCCACTGAGGGTAGCAACGGGGCCACGAAGGACAGCGAGGAGGCTACAAAAGGGCGACAGCGGGGCCATGAGAAGCATGCATGTGGGGCCACGACGGGCGCGAACGAGCGGGGGCCACGAAGGGCATACATATTAGGCCGCAGAGGGCAAGGACGAGGCCACTGAATGCAGCAACGGGGCCAGCCACCAAGGGCTGCGAGGGGGCCACGAAAGGCGACAGCGGGGCCACGAAACGCATGCATATAGGGCCACGATGGGCGCGAACGAGCGGGGGCCACGACGGGCATACATATATGGAACCACGAAGGGAAGCGAGGGGGCCACGACGGGCTGCAACGGGGTCACGAAGGGCAGCGAGGGGGCCACGAAGGGCTGCAACGGGGCCACGTAGGGCAGCGAGGGGGCCACGAAGGGCTGCAACGGGGCCACGTAGGGCAGCGAGGGGCCACGAAGGGCTGCAACGGGGCCACGAAGGGCAGCGAGGGGCCACGAAAGGCTGCAACGTGGCCACAAAGGGCAGCGAGGGTGCCACGAAGGGCTGCAACTGGGCCACGCGAAAGCGCGATTCCTGCGTAGATTCTGAAAGAAGTCCCGCGCGAGAGCGCGATGTTGGAATACATTGTGAGGAAATATTAAGCGGGAGCCGTTGTTGTTGTAGTTCGGGGGCCAGGGGACCAGTTTGATGACACCACAGCTTGCCTGATCAAAAACAAGGTGCGAGCATCTGGAGGAGCACTTGAATTTGAATAATACACTGGTTACCGGATGGGGGGTCAACAAAATGAGCGTTCAACAACAACACCACCACCACCAACAACAACAGCAACAAACCTTTTAAGACTGCTCGTTCTTAACTGCTCGCGTGCCATTCAGCAGTGCATCCGAAACCGTCGATACCCACCCTCTTCGTCTTCGATCGTACCTTCTTGGGGGTATAGTAGATCTTCATTACATGCAAAATGCATTTCACGCAGACCCTTAAGGCAGGAGAAGAGGGAACGGATGGAAAAAGGGACAAGGAGGAAGGAGAAGGATGGAGCACGAGAGAGCGTAGCAGGAGGGGGGCTAGGAGCAGAAAACACGAGGCAGAACCAGATGGGCGGGTTGCTGAAGCGTGCCTTTTGAATGGATCGCGTGGAAGTCTCGAGCCATAGCGCGATTCCCAAGTAAATCGTGAGGAATCCAACAGCGAGAGTGTGATTCCTGAGTGTCGAGGGCGCGGCACCTGAACACATTGCAAGGAACTGCCACGCGAGAGCGCCATTCCTGCATCAAGTGTGAGGAAGTATCAGGCGGGAGCCGCTGGTGTTGTAAACTGACGGGCAGAGACATAGTTTGGTGCCACCTCACCTTCCCTTGTAAAAAGCCGGGTGCGAGCCCTGGAAGAAGCAGTTCAACTGAAACATACAATGGATACTGGAAAGGAGATCAATAATAATGGTCCTCTAGAAACTGGTAAAAGCAACAGACCCCAAAACACGAACAACAAAAACACCAACAGCAACAGCAACAGCAATAGCTACACCAGCAACAGCAGCATCGGCAAGAACAGCAACAACAGCAACAACGACAACAACAACGACGTCAACAACAACGACAAGGACAACAATAACACCAACATCAACAACTCCAATACCAACAACAACATCAACCATAACAACGACGACGACAACAACAACACCAACAACACAAACACCACCAACATCAGCAACACCGCCGACGCCAACACCAACAACCACAACAGCAGCAGCAACAGCAACAGCAACAGCAACAACAACAATAAGTTTAAGACTGTTCGCCCTTATATGCTCGAGTGTCCAATAACGCGTATTTCCCAAACCCTCGATACCCGCCCTCTTCGTCTTCGATCGAACCCCTTTTGGGGGGTATACCTTTCTTCCCTGCACGCCGGGCCCCGGCAAGCGGCGGGGCGGCCGCGGACCGTCGGCCTGGCCAGCGGCAGCGCTGATCGGCGGGGCGGCCGCGGACTGTCGACCCGACCCCAAGAGGGACGGACAGGGGACCGACCACGACGACGACGACGACGACGACGACGACGACGTCGAAGACGACGGCGACGACGACGACGACGGCGACGACGAGCGAAAGCGAGAGCGAGAGAGAACGACAGCAGGGCCACGAAGGGCACGAAGTAGGCCACGAAGGGCGACAGCGGGGACACGAAGGGAATGCGTATGGGGCCACGAAGAGCGCGAACGAGCGGGGGCCACGAAGTGCAGATAATGCGGGGCCACAGAAGGCAACTATGGGGCCACTGAGGGTAGCAACTGGGCCACGTAGGACAGTGAGGGGGACACAAATGGCGACAGCGGGGCCACGAAGGGCATGCACATGGGGCCACAACGGGCGCGACTCCTGGGTGCTTGGGTGTCGGGAGCGCGG